TCCATTCACCCTGTCCTCTCCATGGAATGATCACTGTATTTACTCCTGTTATATCTGTTCCAGCCCTGAGAGTACACTCATGCTCCACATAATGTTTCAGTCAGTGATGGACCACATACATGGCCCATAAGATTATAATGGAGCAGAACAATTCCTATCGCCTAGTGATGTCATAGTCCATGCAATGGTATCAACACATTACCCACATGTTTGAGGTGATGCTGATGTAAGCAAGCCACTGCTCTTCCAGTTAGATAAAAGTGTGATCCACACAGTTATATACAAGTATGTACAGTATATCATACTTGACAATAAATATGTTACTGGTTTATGTATTTATTATGCTTTTTATCATTATGTTCGTGTACTCTTTCTGCTTATATATAAAACAGTTTTCTGTAACACAGTATGCCATGTTGTGCTGGCAGCAGCCTCAAACATCTCGTGCTTACCTTGTCTCTTGATTGCCATCATTTTCTCTTGTGCTTGATTTAACCTCATGTTCTTTTGTACAGTAAGATGCTGTACAGGCTTGGAGCCTAGGAGCGTTAGGCTATGCCGTGCAGCCTGGGTGTGTAGTAGGCTGTACCGTGCAGGTTTGTGTACTGTCCCACTCACTATTGCACAACAACGAAATCACCTAAGGACACATTTCTCAGAATGTATCCTGATTGGTAAGTGGTGCATGACCGTAATTCTTTCTCTCCCTGGGTAAATTTATGTTTCTCTAACCAGTTCTATAGAGATGTTGGCTTTAAAGTTTACCTCTCAAAGAGAAGGTAATCTTATTTCTATCATTTCTAAGTCAGGGCTGGAAACCTCACCATGACCCTCAAGAACCCACAATAATTACTTTATAGTCACACCTCATTGTATAAAACCAGTTTGACTCAGCATGCTCACCTCCTCCCCCCTCTCTGTCCCCATTCAGTACACTTGACTTCAAGTGACATTAGCCAATTGGAAAAACAAGTTCATTCTGTGAGCAAGAAAATGTATTAATAGTGAGGATGCTTTTATAAATGGGACACAAGCTTCAAAGGCAAACCCAAAAGATTATTACAAATGTTTTAAGAAATAGCAGGCATTGTGGAAACACTGCGACTATTTTGAAAGGGCGGCAATTGTTTGGACAGATAGATTATGCAATTTAAAAATCTGCCATGGTGCTGCCTTATATTCAGTCACAACCTGTACATTAAATGCTTTGTATCTGGGCAGCCAGGTGCCTGCGGGGGGTGGAGGTGGTGCTGGCAGCAGCGCATAGCAAGCACAGCTAGAAGCCTCAGGAGCCCCCTCATCTCGGATTCCACTTTGTAATTTATCAGAGACATTCTGAGATGGGCCACGCGTGCCACACTGCATTCCTCGTGGTAGGTTGCCACTACTTATGAAGGAGGGTCTTACATAGAGCCTTGCATTCCATGTTGGCCACAGATTGCTTTTTCACTTTTTCAAATTTTAGTGTGGACGCAAGTATAGAATATTAGATGGCTTTGATTTATCAGGATGGGTTCTCCAGTTGATTTACATCTTCTGGGGGGAGGAAGCTCTGCCCTCAATTCAAACCCACTGCTGTCCTTTCCTGCTGTTTCACTGGTAAACCGGAGGTTGTTGAGGCCTAGAGGCTGGCACCCTGTGAGCCCAAGAGCCAGGCAGCAAGGGGGAACCATCTGCTTTGGCTTTTTCAAAGGAACATCGGCCCTTACTTTGTGCCCCTGGGAAAATATAAGTCCTCACTGGCAAGCTACATGCTGCTCGTTTTATAGCTCCTGCAGTGCTGGCTCGTACATTGCCCATATTAGACACTCCAGTGTTGAACCAAAGGGAGTGCACCTGCCTTCGTCTGCTGGGGCTGCTGTGACAAAACACTAGGTCGCTTAAACAACAGAAATGTATTTTCTCACAGTTCTGGAGGCTGGAAGTGGGAGATCAGGATCCACCCTGGGAGGGCTCTTTCTGGTGTGCCTCCTCACTGCGCCCTCTCACGGTGGAGAGAAAGCGCAGCAAGCCCTCTGGTGTCTCTTCTTATAAGGACACTAATCCCATCATGGGGCTGCCCTCGTCTAAGCCTGATCGTCTTCCAATGGCCCAGTCTCCAAAGATCATCGCATCGGGGTTAGGCCTCAACATAACACATGAATTTCTTTGGGGACACAGTGCAGCACAGGGCAGTGCCCAAAATAAGAAATTAGAAATCAGACTGTCTCTTTTTTTTTTTTTAACACCTTCACCCACTTCAGCCTTCCACCTCCTCAGCAATCACCGATCTGTTCTCTGTATTATGAGTTATTTTTAAATTTGTTAAGGTTCCACATATAAGTGAGATTATAATGGAATTCATCTTTGTGTGACTTATTTCACTTAGCATAATACCCTCAGGTCCACCCATGCTGTTGCAAATGGCAGGATTTCCTTCTTTTGTATAGCTGAATAATATTCCATTGTACATATTCACCATCTCTTCTTTATCCATTCATCAATTGATGGACACTTAGGTTGATTCCATGTCTCAGCTATTATGAATAATGTGCCATTGAACATGGGGGTGCATGTATCTTTTTGAATTGGTATTTTTGTTTCCCTTGGATAAATACCCAGAAGTAGAATTGCTGGATCATATGGTAATTCTAAAACTGTCAAGTAGACTTTGATTTGCATGTCTTATCCACTGTCCTAACAGAGAAGTGCAACAGAGTAGCCACCAGAAGAGGAAATACACTCTGGAAGGCTATAAATGCACATACATGTACATACACAAACAAGCATACGTTTTCTCTTCTGGAATCTGTTTTTGCTCTGAGCTTGGAGACATCCAGCAAGTGAGCTTGGGATGGAGTAGTTGTCATAGAGTAAAGGCAATGCATTTGCATACACCTGACCTGGGAGCTCATTTAGAAATGACTCTTCCCGGGTAGTCCTGTGTCTCCATCAGACAGAGCCTGGTGGCTGTGGTCATGTCAACAGTGATGGACCCAAGTGAATGTGAGGTATGGACAGTGCAGGCATCTACATGATTTCATGCCTAAAGCTCTGGGAACTCCTTTACATTGGCAGAGATGCTTAGGAATGAGCTTATGATAAAAACCTTCATAGGTAAAGGCTGATCTTTTCCTTTGGAAAGGCAAATGGAAGGTGCATTTTCAGTTTATTCGTAAACATTATTCCCAAGGCCCTTTGGCCATAGCTTTAACATTTCTTGCAGGAAGATACTTTCATTGTTTGTATTTTTAATTATGGGAGCACAGAGCGTGTTCAAGGGTGGAGCCAGGATTCAAATCCCCGCCCCAATACTTAAACAGAGATGTTTAGTCTCTGGGCCCCTGTCTTCTCCCCATACAATGATGGGACCACCTTCTAGGGCTGTGATGAGGTTTAAGGAGACTAGTATTTGTAAAGTGCTTGGAGCAGGGCCTGGCCCATAGCAAATACTGTATAAGTATATGTTAAATACATATATTAATAGATATTCTATAATATGTAATCTATTGATTATGATATTGATATAAGTATGATATATTAAACATATTTTAAGTAGATATTAATATATTTTATATATATACACATTATAATACATATTACATATGTAACATAAAATATCCTATATAATAAAAGCCAAATACAGTAGGTCCTTGGGTTACGTCAGAGATCCGTTCCTACGGCGCGACGTAACGTGATTTTCGCCGTAAGTCGGAACCCACCTACATAAGCACCTACATCACTCACATGGAGCACATACACAGCAGTAATGAAGTGAAACAATAAAAGAAATTTAAAAGAGCCCTAACCAGCTTGGCTTAGTGGATAGAGCATTGGCCTGTGGACAGAAGGGTCCCAGGTTCGATTCCGGTCAAGGGCATGTACCTTGGTTGCGGGCACATCCCCAGTGGGGAGTGTGCATGAGGAAGCTGATCGATGTTTCTCTCTCCTCGATGTTTCTGACTCTCTATCCCTCTCCCTTCCTCTCTGTAAAAAATCAATAAAATATGTTTTAAAAAAAAGAAATTTAAAAGAAAGATAACAATTCCTGACCTTTACTTGTGGTAAATAAATAATAAAAAACATAAAGCACATATGTACATATGTCGAAATGACGGAACTTTTTTTTTTTTTTTTTTTATAAATAAATGGGAGATGGCGACGTAACCACGAAAAAATGTAGGTCGAGTCCGACATAACCCCAGGACTGTCTGTATGCAAATCGACCGTTGCTATGATGCGCACTGACCACCAGGGGGCAGATGCTCAACACAGGAGCTGCCCCCAGCCTGTAGGCCCCAGGCCAGCCAAGGCAGGTGCCAGCAGGGGGCGACCAGAGGCAGCGGGAGGCAAAGCCAGGGGGCAAAGCCAGCCTTCGGGAGGCAGTGGGGGACAGAGTCAGCAAGCAGGCAGTGCCAAGCTGGCCAAGGCGGGTGCCAGCGGGGGCCATCCCCCTCCCCCAGTAGTCCCGCCAGTCGCCCCACAGATTGGCCCTGATCTCCGGCCAGGACTAGGGACCCTACCTGTGCACGAATTTCATGCATCGAGCCTCTAGTATATTATAGAATATAGAATATATTCATTATATTAATATTAATATAATTAAATATATGTTAAAACATATATTATAAAAATATAAATATGATATATGTTAAACATATAATTTGTATATTTATCTTATATATATGTATTTTTTTTAAGTAAGGCATCTTCCTGTTCAGCGTGAAACGTTCTCCTGTGTGGGGACGGAGAGCCCCAGGGCTGACAGCCTGTCAGTGAGCGAGTGCCGTTTGTAGTAGAAAAAAATTAGGAACAAGGCAGAAGGTCTTCATCTGTACCTGGCTGTTTACTCAGTGGTGCCTTCATTATCCACTCCTTTGGGTTTTATAAGAATCATTTGCATCGATGTACTAGGGCTTTGAGACATTGCATTTTAAAAAATTATGTAAATCGGAAATTGCCTGTTTTAGGAAATGTAATCTCTCATCACTTACCCTTTCTCCATTTTGTTTTCCCTCCAGCCCAAGCTTTTGGCCAAGGAGCTGCTTGACCTCGTGGCATCTCACTTCAATCTGAAGGAAAAGGAATACTTTGGAATAGCCTTCACAGATGAGACGTAAGTGCCCCATGAGCCCTCCGAACTTGACAGGAAACTGGAAATCACAATTGTCCCAACTGTCAGAATGAGCTCAGCTGCAGGCCACTGGGTCCTGTGGTCAGGGTTCAGTCCAAGTTCATCATTTGAATTTCAAAGGCCTTGTGATCATGCCCGGAATGGCCAACGGATATAATTAGGGTGATGCTCATATTGTGAAAGTATTAGGTAAACTAGTTCCTGTAATCAAATTGCAGATTGTGTTCAGAACTGAAATGCTTTTTTGTTTGTTTGTTTGTTTGTTTGAAGTAGATTTGTATGAGTTTGTTTTCTATTAAAGTTAAATGAAAACTTCTGGAAAGTCAACTTTTCTCTCCAGTGTTGGAATAACAATAACAGGAAGTGAATTTGATGATAAATTCAAAATGAAAAGTATCTGTGCAGTTTCACTGTCTAAGCTGAAATAGAGAAAATAAAAATCAGGAATTCAATCACTCATCGGATGAAAAGTATATTTGCTTTAAAGACCTTTCAGTTTGGCTCTATAAAGAGGTGTTTTACAACACAAGTAAGGAAATCTTTACTAAAATTTCAATTTTCTTCTTTTTAAAAAAATACGTTTTTATTTCAGGAAGAGAGACGGGGAGGGAGAGAGAGATAGAAACATCAATGATGAGAGAGAAACATCCATCAGCTGCCTCCTGCATGCCCCCTACTGGGGATTGAGTCCACAATCCAGGGATGTTCCCTGATGGTGGATCAAACCTTGATCTCCTGGTTCATGGGTGGACACTCAACCATTGAGCCGCACAGGCCAGGCTAATTTCCTTCTTAATAGACTGTTAGCAAAAGAATATGGTAAAAACCTGCACAGACTACTAGGTAAGAATGTGTTCTAAGCAAATGTGTAATGCTTTTCTTTCCTCTGAGTGTATACACACACATATACACACACTCCTGCAAATTACAGAGATGATACTCTAAAATACTAATAGATCAGGGTTGGGTTGGTGGCTGGACAGGACAGTGTAGGCGAGGCCATGAGCCATTGACCAGATGGAGCCGTCAAGGCAGGATGGGCTCGAAGCAAGGGCGGGAGGCAGCCACAGTGGCGAGGAGGGGAGGTGATCAGGTATGTCTGCACCTGGATACTCTGAGCCTGGGAACCGCAAATCCAGACCCTGGAAGTAAAAGGTGATGTAAATTGGCACTGTCTTGGGCAAACTGGAACATCCAATTGCCTTCTGAATTAGCAACAGTTCAGATGGTGGGGTGATCGGGGTATAGGCAGCCGGAGCAGTCGCATCTTCCTCAAGAAAGCCGGGAGGAACCAGGTCAGCCCTGGCCCTGAGCCTGTCAGGAACTGGGCCAGAGGAAGGCAGGAGTGGTGGCCCTGGTCTAGAAGGATCGCCATGCCTGTGGGTAGAGCCAAGTAAGCCGGCCGTGAAAGGAGGGCTGCAGTGGGAAGGATCCAGCCTAGTGGTGGGAAAATGCTTTAAAACAAATACACATTGAGAACAGCTACTTTCAAAAGTGCAGGTGTTTCTACCCTTTCTCCTGTAACCCTCCCAAATTGGTATTCATACGTTTGTCACTAATTAAAAGGAACCCAGAAGTTTCGATTAATTATATCCCATCATTCACATTTCCCAAGTACCGTTACTCTTCTCAAAGATGCCATGACCTCTACACGAGTCCCACTGAGACCTCCCTTTTGAATAAATAAGAATCTAAGAGTGAGCAGGTTGAGCTGCACTAAGGAGGGAGAACTACGCCTGCTGAGTGTGTCACATCACTGCCCAACGGCACCTGCAGGAATGGGCTGCAGGTAGAAAGCCATTCTCCTGCATGGGCGAGAGCAGGCACACGTTACAGAAAGGAGAGTGGGGCGTGCAGCACAGACCACTCACCCATCGAGTGGTACCAGGTCTGGGCTGCCCTGGGCCCCTGGGTTGGCCAGGAAAGCTTGTGTGTGCATGTGTGTGAGGCCAGACCGCAGGAAGGTGTCCCCCACCCTGGAGTGGAATTGGCCGATGGAGGGCTCTGTGGGGGGTGGTGAGGAAGAGGATATGAGCCATCTCCTGGCATAGTGCAGAGAAAGTGTGGTCACCACCACCCCTTCACTCAAGTCTGGGTGGGAGCGTTTCTTCAGCAATTGCAGGAGCAGCCAGAGGCCAGCAGATTAGCGGAAAAGAGCAGCAGCTGCAGACAGTTCCTGAAAAAGAACTGGCAGGTGGACCTGACTCATGGGGGAAACGGCGAGTGTCAGGGCCCCCAGGAAATTAAGGACAGGAGACAGAAACAAAGGGGACGGCCGTGACTCAGGGCAAAGTCATGGCCTGACAACATCTGGGGCCAAGGGACGTTGGCTGGTGGCCTCTTTGATAATCTGAACTTTTCTCCTTTTCCTGGTAAGAAAGGAAAGAATGAAAGCTGTGCCTGTGGGTGTGACTTAGTCTAGAGTAGTGGTTCTCAACCTTGGCTGCACATTAGAATCACCTGGGAATCTTTTTAAAATCCTGATTTCTGGGCCTCATCCTCCGGAAATTCTGTTTCTTTGTTACTAATGTTGTGGCCCCGCCCCATAACAAAGAAACAGAATTTCCGGAGGATGAGGTTCAGAAATCAGGATTTTAAAAAGATTCCCAGGTGATTCTAATGTGCAGCCAAGGTTGAGAACCACTGGTCTAGAGGTTGAAGGGCTATGTTATATGTGCCCCTGGACACTAACGTAAGATCTTTCAATAACCGTATTTTCAAATTGTTCATTGTACTGGGACATGTACTGTGACATGTACTGTGTGTGTGTGTGTGCATGCCTGCGTGAGTGCGTGTGTGGTTTCTGCAGGAGCTTACACTCCGTATTTTATAATCAAATGCAGATGAAGTTTCATTCTTTATTCCAGCCCATGGTATATCCTTTGTATTGCCTATTTCCTCATGCAAAATCAAGCAAGACTAACACTTAGAAAGTGTTGTAAGCTGTAAAATGCTGTAGAAGTATAAGATATTACCACCAGCGTTATAATTCCTTAAAGTAGAATATATGAGTCTTTCAGTATTAACTGCTGTTGATGACATTTTGTAGGATCTAGTTGGGGCTGGAGAGAAGATATATAGAGCAGAATGCAGATAGGAAATTGGAAGTGTATCTATGCTTTTCTTCCCCATAAGTTGTGCTTATGAATAAACTATCCAAGTACACAGTGCAAGATATTTAATATTGTTAGTTAATCCACAGTGTTGTAGCATCAGTACTAACTCCACCTTTCCTTCTCTTTTCTAAATTTAATTTTTAAACTTTATATTTTGAAATAATTAGATTTACAGAAAAATTGCAAAGGTAGTACAGAGTTCCACATACCCTTCACCCAGCATCCCCAAATGTGTTGATATTTTACAAGCTATGTTAATATTACTTCACTAAAGGCCTGGTGCTTGAAATTTATGCACAGGGGTGGGGGTCCCCTCAGCCCAGCCTGCACCCTCTCCAATCCGGGACCCCTCGGGTCTCCAGGATCAGGCCTAAAACAGCAGTCGGACATCCCTCTCACAATCTGGGACCACTGACTCCTAACTGCTCACCTGTCTGCTTGCCTGATTGCCCCTAACTGCCCCTCCCTACCAGCCTGATCACCCCTAACTGCCTCTGCCTGCTGGCCTGATCGTCGCTAATTGTCCCCCCTCTGCCGGCCTAATTGCCCCTTACTGCCTCCCTGCTGACCTAGTGCTCCCAACTGCCCCCCTCTGCCAGCCTGGTTTTCTCTAACTGTCCCCCCCCCCACTGACCTGGTTGCCCCTCACTGCCCCCCTGCCGGCCTGGTCACCCCACACAGCCTACTGTTCAGTCGTTTGGTTGTCCTGCACTAACCCCCCTGCCGGCTTGGTCGCCCTATGCAGCCTGTTGTTCAGTCATTTGGTCATCTCTCACTAACCCTCCTGATGGCTTCATTGCCCTACGCAGCCTGCTGTTCGGTCATCCGTCCAGTTTTTTCGGTTGTTACGGCCCCGGGCTTTTTATATATTAGAATTATATTATCATATTATTGATACTAAACCATAGACTTCATTCCAATGTCACCAGTTTTCCCATGAATGCCCTTTTCTGTTCTAAGATTCAATAATATGCAGCCTCTTTTAATTTGAATAAATCTGCTGTGATAGACAGAGATGGTTACCTGTACATGATCTAAATTGTGGTGATACAAGCAAACAATGACATTTCAGCCACCTTTAAAACATTCTGAAACAAAGGAAGAGCCTCATATTAATTTGATACTAAAAAAATTATTTCTGTTTTACTGGAGTTGTGGTTCTCAACCTTTGCTGCACTTTGGGGTCACCTAGGTCATTTTATAAAATACCAGTGCCTGGGACCTGCCTCCAGAATTGTGATTTAATTGGTCGGGAAGGGGACTGAGCAGCAAGATTTTTCTGATATGCATCCAAGTATGAAAACCCCAGTTCCAGAGAGAGGGGAATGGTGGAATAAATTACCTCTGTTTCTTCTCTCCAGATCCAAGAAGAAAAGCTGATTTCACTCAAACTTTGAATATTTGGGGCCAATAATGGCAAGTGCCAGGGATCTGAAAGTTACAGACTCTCTCCACTCCAGACAGACTCTGGAAACCTAACATTGTGAGAACCAACTCAGAGAAGTTCAGCTTTAGTATTTAGCCACCAGTCCAAATAGTGTGGCTGGGAATTCCACCTGTTAAGCATTGGCATCCATCATTTAAGGAACCCTATTTTTGCATTTTATTTTTGAAATATTTTCAATGCTTTTGCAGCACCCAAATTGTTAGGTGTTTAAAATTTCAGAGCTCATGGATCTGATTGTATAATTTATATCAATAAAGCACTATATTTAATTATCTGATTTATTCTCAATCATAATTTTGTTTTCTCTATTTGTTTTTTTTTAAAAAAAACCTTTATTGAGGTATAATTGATATACAAAGAAATGCACACATTTAATGTATACAATTTAGCCAGTTTGGACATTTGCAAATAAACAAGTT